AAAAAAAAAAAAAAAAATGCTGTTGAACTCTGACTTTTTGTGAATCAAGAATGGTTTTGATTACACATTTAAATGTGCCTGAAAGCTATACTGTAAAGCTGGTTTTATCAAAATCCTCATCACTTTTAAATTAGGGAAATTAAAAATGAAACAAAAGGAATTGAGCATTCAATAGGAACATGAATTCAAGGGAGTTTACTTTAAATGAAACAAACACTAAATTATAAAAAGGGCTACTTAATGGAAGACAAATTGAAGTTTGAATCACAGCTAATCTTAGGTGGATTTATGATTAGCATGTTTCAAGATTGATTGTATACTTTCTTAATGAAAATAACCTTTTTGTCTCTGTATTTAGGGATTTTGGCCATTGGTTTAATTAACGAAGCCCTGGATGAAGGCGATGCCCAAAAGACTCTGGAGGCCCTGCAGATTCCTGCAGCTAAACTTGAAGGAGTCCTGGCAGAAGTGGCCCAGCATTACCAAGACACACTGATTAGAGCAAAGAGAGAGAAAGCCCAGGTGAGTGGCCTCAAAATAGTTCCTTTCTGTTGAGGACATTTCATCCTTCCTAGAACAAAGACAGAGTAGGGATGTCTCCCTTGATCCACTCAATGAATACTTTCTGGGCACCCTTAGATACAGAGCACTGGAGGGACACAAAAATATGAGACATAGATTCTACCCTGCAGGGGCTCATGCTATTTTATAATTTGGGTATTTGTTCTTTGTTGTTAGTGTAGACATGTCTCTTTAATGAAATATAAGGTCCAGAAAAATGCACAAGTTACATAGGTGTGCAATTGCATAAATTTTCACAAGTGGACATACCACGTAATGGGTATTTAGATTGTAGAATGAATTGCCAGCACCACGGAAACCTCCCTCGTGTCCCCTTCTGTCCTTGTCCACTCTCCATTCGATGGTATCCACTATTCTGATTTATAATGCCACAGTTCATTTTTGCCTAGTTTTGAGCTGTATCTAAAGGGACTCATACATTACATGCTCTCTTGTGTCCGGCTTCTTTTGCCCAACATAACATTAATGTTATTCATCCATATGGTTGCATGTAGTAGTAGTTTGTTCATTCTTATTTTATACCATTCCATCGTGTGGTTATATATTGTTGGTGAAGTTTTGTTTTTAATTTTTGGCTATTGTAAATAGTGCTTCTATGAATATTCTAGTACATGTCTTTTGGTAAATATATATGCATTTCTATTAGGTATACATTTAGGGGTGGGATTAGTGGGTTATAGGGAATATATATATGTTAAGCTTTAGTAGATAATGCCGTAAGTTTTTTTTATAACAGCTTTATTGAAACCTAAGTCACATATCATACAACTCAGTATATGATTCAGTGGTTTTTAGTATATTCATAGAATTGTGCAACTGTCACCACAATCAATTTTAGAACATTTTCATCACCCCAAATAGAAACCCTATACCCATTAGCAGTCACTCCTCATTTTCCCTTAACCTCCCCCAGCCCTAGACAACCATCAATCTACTACTGTCTATGGATTTGTCTATTTTGAACATTTCATATTAATAGAATCATGCAATATGTGGTCCTTTGTGACTGGCTGCTTTTATTTAGCTTCATTTATCCAAGTTGTAGCATGTATCAGTACTTCATTTTTATTGCTGAATAAAATTCCATGGTATGACTATACCACATTTTATTTATCCATTCTTGAGTTGTTGCATACAAGTTATTTCCACTTTATGACTATCAGGAATGATGCTGCTATGAACATACTTTTTCAAAGTAATTGTAATAAACCCATCTTTTAAAAAGTTCATTTGTCTTGCCTCCTAGCTAGTTTGTTGAGGAAACTGGCAAGGTTTGTACCATTTTTTATGCTGTCGCTATCTAGGAAGTTCCCTCATATGTAGTAGGCTCTCACATATTAGTTGCGTGATTAAAGCATAATTACATCTGTTTTTCTAATTGTGATTCATCTCCTTTTAAATGCTTCCTAAGTAACAACAACTAGATAGGGAGAACTATAGCTTTCTTTTCTGAAAATTCCTAAAGTGAGGCAGCAAGTAGAAGAGCTAAAAGAAAATTTTAATTCAGGGAGTCAGATTTTTTCTGGGAAGCCAGGGGTAGAAAAATAGACCAAGCCCTTAGTGTATTAGAGCTTTTTGTACACTGCACCCACTTGAGCTCTGTAAACTAGGGTTAGGGGGTGGAGGAGTTGTGGGTAATATCATAATGTTGACAGATCTCTGATTACAGTACCATGACAGTAGTTGACATAACATGTCCTAATCACGTAAACGTAGTCTGATAGTACCAAGTTTCATTTAAG